AAGAGAGAGAGAGAGAGAGAGAGACAGGTACAACTAGATCTAGTGCAAGCGGAAGAAAATAAAAGTAAAGTTAAGTAAGTTCCAAACGACCTATTAATAGCTAACAGGAAGCTAATCACATATTTATCAAACCCAGAAGCAAAAAACCACAAACCTCAATAAGCATGTTTGCGGTTTTGTTCGGACATCTCGTACAATGCACGATTTTGCAAGTCACGTGATAATTTAGAAACCGGAAGAAAGAAACCGGATATTAGTCTCTTTGATCGCGAAAAGAATCACGTAAGGCTGTGTTTTGTTGTGTCGCTTTATTCAATCTACTTCATCTAGTATTTTATTATATATTGCAACCTTTTTTTCTTTTTGAAATGAGACACTAAAATGTCATTGTTCATGTTTAAAACTGTATGTGCTGCTCCATTGCAAAATTGATGTTGCATTTATTCATCAACCAGTCAAGAGATTGAAGCATTAGGTTGGTCTTGTCAGCTCTCACACTACTCCTCAGCCCCATCTCGTTGTTTTCCCCTAAACTTTGACACGGTAGTTTAATATTATCCTAGTCCTTCCATCCTACTATTTTATCCCATTTTATATATGATTTTGGGAAATCTACATGATAGATTCTAAGGCAATTCATTAGCCTATTGATTATCATCATGAGTAGCCTACACAGCACGACTGGTAACAGGTAGAATCTAGACCTAACTTCCTAAGGAAGGCGGCTAAGGCAAGGCTCCACTAACCCTGACTGAGCCAAACTAACAACTTTATAATTATATTATTAGCCTAATACCAGATCTAGATTAATTATGACAGCTGAGGATGAGGTATTGAATATTCATTATAGGCCGAATGTATCATAATCATTGTAGAATCTATACTGCTTTTTCTGTCCTATTCTTTTACTATTTTATTATGGAAGTGGCTATTCTCACCCCGGGTGAGAATAGAGGTGGCCATTATTATACTATCGTCATTTTCCTCTACTGATCTAGATTTTAGGCCTAGAGTGGTGTAGCCCCTGCGCGTGCGCCTTCTCGGTGCGTGCACTTTTGTTTTCCTTTGTTTTTAGCCTCAAATTGCGTTTTTGCGTTTGATTGAATGCGTCAGTGTGTGCAGCAGCCATTTTTGTTTACTTCCATCACTCGTTTGCCGACAAGGGATCATCGAGATTGTTTTTATCAGCTGTGGCAAGTTGACATT